TAATGACACCTGATGCATTCAGTTCTCCTGCCAAAAAAGAAAATAATGAACTAGATTCTCGTCCCAGTAGTCCAGAATTAGGTAAAGTCTTATCTGCTAGTCCATCACTTGCACAAGCAGTGCAGGCTTTAAATGCAACAGATCCACCATTAGCTACAAGCGAATTAGAAGAACAAGCACCTGCTAGTAGTGGTAGTAGTCCGTCTAGAGAAGTAAGAGAAATTTTATCCCTTACAAAAGCAAATGAAGAACCAGAAACCGAAAATAAACCAGAAATTACTAATACTGTTGATGAAGATTGGCCTAATATTCCAATGGTATTATTAAAAGACGTAAGCAGACATGCAATGCAGGAAACTGATGGTTTTACAAATGAAGAAGAAAAAAGAAAAAAAATAAAAGATGAATCAACTATTGCAGAAAATGATGAAACTACTTGGCAAACAACAAACAAATTGAATGCTCTTGAATTAATAAATAAAATAGAATCAATTTTAGAAGTAGTTCAAAATCAACGACAAGAATTAAGAGAATTACGTACCGAAATGACTAGATTAAGACAAGAAACACCAATTTCGACGCGAGTAGAATCTGCTCTAGCAAGAGCTTCACAACAACAAAATGCAACCTTAGAACAAACATTATATAGTCAAATGGCTCGTCAACATGAATTTCTTAAGACACTTGAAACAACAATCAAAGATAAAATTGAAACTACTTTACCACGTATTATTGAAGACACAGTAGAACCATTAAAGCATCAACTTAGATTAGATTCTGCTCGAATGGATGAACTTTTAAAAAAGAATTTAACGGATCTAATTAATAGTTCTCATATAAAAGATACACTTGCTGTGGCAGCAGTAAATGCAGCAAAACCAGCATTAGATGCAGCATTTAAAGAAGCCTTTACAAATGTTCTTTTACCTGGAATGGAAAAAGCATGTCAAACAATGTTCAGACAAGTACAAGATGTTTTTATCAGGGGTACTCGTGAATGTAAGATATTTGATATAATTTAAAGAAAATGGTACGATATATATATTTTATATAAAATATTTCTTTTATTTTATAGATCTTCAAAATGTGGATGCAATTGCAGATAAGCAATATCAACAACGAAATGAACAACAAAGTGAAGCATTATCTGCTTTAGTTCGTGAAGAATTACAAACAGAACTGAATAGAGGTTTAATTATTCTACAAGAAGGAACGATACGTACAATTCGTGATTCTATTAGAGATAATTTAAATCAACAATTAACAGAGATTACAAATGCACGGTAAATGAAATATAAGTATTACATTAGTTTTTTATTAAAGAATGATATTAATTTAATGTATATTTATAGCTCTCGAGCTACTACACCTGCTATACCAGTCTCAGCAGTCGCCGATGCTCAAGCACGAGTTATATCTCTTCTTCAAAGAGGACAATTAAATGCTGCTTTCCAACAAGCTCTAAGTGCTAGTGATTTAGGTTTGGTAGTATTAGTTTGCGAAAAAACAGAACCCGCCAGAGTATTTTCTTCTGTGGGACCTCAAGGTCAAGGTACAAGATGTATTTTACAACAACCTGTAATTCTCTCACTTGTACAACAATTATCTGCAGATTTAGGACATCGTACAGAGCTTAAACATAGGTAATTTTTCATGAATATATTTTACTATATATTTTAATTGATTCTTTATTATCATTTATTAGGTGGCTTGAAGAAGCAATATTAAATTTAGATCCGAACGATCCAGTAACACGAGAGCATATGGGTACCGTATTAATGACATTACAAACACAATTAGCTGCTTTTGTTGCAGCAAATCCAAATCATAGTTCTACTCGACGTATGAAAATGTTAGCTATGGCTGCACGTGCACTTTTAAATCAACAACCTTGATGTTATATACATATGGAATAGAAAAAACGCATTGACACGAGATTTTATATGTTTTGTTTAAAAAAATACTTTAATATTATCTGAAAGTAATATTCACATTATCTTCCTGTTTAAGACTGGCAGTAATTTACATAGAATATGAAAAAATATACGAAGTTATTAGCAGTTAACACAATTTCAAAAAATCTGTTTTTATAATTTAATTTTTCATAAAGTACATACGTTTACGAAATATTGAAGAAAGAAAGAGTTTAATAGAAAATTATTTTCTTGATTATAAATACATATTATGTAAGTGTATTATACATAATAAGTAAAAAGCGTGATATAAATAATGTCATTGAAATAATGACATACAACTTAAGGAATTTAAATTATTATTTTACTAATTATCAATAAAAAATTTTATGAATTACTAGTATATTGACTGATATTAAGAAAGTTCTTTTATAATTTGTATGATACACAAAAGAAATTTATTTTTAATTATTATAATTACATTTCTTAAATAATATTTTCTTGTAAAATTAAACTATGTAATGTTCTCACATTTAAAACGAAATTTTAAAAAATAGAATTTAAATATAATTAACATATATTCTCTTAATTCTCCTAAATGTTGACTTTGTATTAATATATAGATAATGCATTTCATGACATATTGTATGATACACATTAAACTTTTCATATGCACGAAGATCGAAAGCCGTTAAATTTTAATTATATTTAAATTATAAGCTTTAATAACTCTTTTTGACAAAAAAAAAAATTTCATAAATTCTGTATTTAAAAACTATATGTATTGAAATATTTTTGTTCTATATTGTTTTATTTTATCTCTATTTCATCCGTATTTTCTTTTACCGAATATACTGCTAAATGTAATGTAATAAACTAAAATATTCTATATTTCTTACTATAAAAAAAATAAACATTTTAAAATGAATAAGTTGTATCTCAAATTTTATAATATATACATTAATAAGTGGGGTAATTTCATTATTTTAATAATTAACACAATGAGCATGTGTATAAACATGTAAACATAATGTTATCATAAAATGATATATATATTAATGATATATATCTTCTATATACACAGTTTATAATTCTTCAAAGAATGTAAATAATATGTAATTTATATGCATTTATATTTTTCTTGAATTTATATATTTATATACATTAGCTATATATAAAAATTCCTAGTTCCAAATTTATGTTGTATTCCTTATACAATTAAATATTAAATCAAAAGTAGTATATATAGATATATATATATATATAGTATATATGATTCAACTTATTTTTTTTTTCTTATTACTTTTATTACGTGTAATTCTTAATATTATTTGCATATAAAGAATAAAATATTCAAAAATATAAAAAATAATTATATGTATTTGCAATAAAAATTAAATAATTTAGCAAATTTTAATATTAATATTGTATAAAAATTGTTGAAACAATTTATAATGTATATGAGAATCTTTAATTGTAATTTTATTAAGCATAAATAATGATATAATAATATAATTGTGTATAATATTTTATATATTTACTATAAGTAAGAATTAGAAATAAAATAATATATTTATATTTATAATGAATTCATAAAACTATTCATAATATGTTGCAATATTATTCTATTTATTTCAATTTTATAAACTAAAAAAGATAAATAAAAAAAATAAATGGTATAATTTTAATAATTTATTCATATACAAGTTTTTTTGAACAAATATTTATTTTCAACTCATTTTGTTTTTTCTAGTTTATTCTTTATCTCTGCAACTAATGCTTCTTTAATATGTGCTGCTATTTTTATTTTTGTTTTTTTCTTAACTTTACCAGAATTTTTCTCATTAGTATTTTTTAAAATGTTTGTTTGTGTTTTTTTCTTTTTTTTTAAACAACTAAGAGGATTTGGACCTTTTTTTTTCTTTTTTTTAAATTTTACTTCTGTTTTTTCTATTATTCCAGCTGTTTCTTTTAATATTTTAATATTCTCTTTTTCCCTCTCAGTCATTCCTAGTCCTTTACGAATATTTTCAGCATATTTACGGCTAGCTTGTGAAGGTGCTTCCAATGTTGGTGCTTTACCATGCAAATATATTATTGGAACACCTGGAATTTTTCTTAAACTATTCTGAAGATCTCTATCTTGTGTAGCTATAATATATCTGAAAAATATAATATAATATATATGTGCATGTATGTAAATATAATACAAATGTATAATTAACTTTTAATTTTTCCTATAGAAATTATACCTAAATGAGTTATTTTTTCCAATCATAGATTGTAAACATTTTGTACCACTAATTGAGTATTTTTCATGTCCACATTTATGTATAGGATATTGTTTAACTATTTGCATAGCACCACTAACTGCTTTTGAAAATGAACTTAATTTTTCTGTTTCCAAAATTATACATGGTGTAGTTAATAATTTTATATCAGATTGAAAATATTTTGATAATTGATCTTGTATATTAAATTTATTCTAAAAAAAATCAGAAAATAAATATATATGTGTACAAATTAATTTTTATATTAAATATATATATAACTTCTATTCACCAATTTAAATAATAAAAATAAATAAAATTGTTAATTTTAATTAAAGAATATTAAGATATAATATTTGGATACAAACCTCTAAAGCAGCCAAAGCAAATGTACCATCAATAAGAACTTGAAACGGCGATCTAAATTTGAAATTATTAATAAAAAAGCCTAAATTTTTTCTAGCTTTTTTCTGACGAGTTGATTTCATATTATTATTTCTTTAAAAATATAATATTTTAATATAATATATATCGATATTCTATAACCTCTGAAATATTAAAATATAAAATATTATTAAAAAATATTATATAAAAAATTATATATAATATTTTAAAAATAATAAAATATTTAAAATTTTTGACAATTAAATTAAATAAATAAATTTTTATTTTTAAAAAATACTTTCTTAATTCATTTTTTATTATTTTCACTTATTTTTATTTTTAACGTACAAAATATACGCTCATAAAGATATGTTATAAAAATCATTTCTCAATATGCTATTTGCTAAATAATATAAGAAACATAACCTATTTCAATCAGTAAACGAAAGTGGTAACATTATTCAAAGTGTATCATTTATTAATTTTAAAACTCAAATATTATATCATAATAATACTGGTTTAAAAAAAAAAAATATTTTATCTTCTTATAAAAAAATTTCAGAATGTAAATATTTATACAATATTTTCTATTGTTTTAATTTTAATTTTATGTATTCATATGTATTGAAATACATAACCTTATTTTATCATTATTTATTTGATATTTTTAATAAATAAATTTAAAATCATATTTTTTTATAATAATATTAACATTTTTCTATTTAGATTTCTAATTTTTATTTTATAACTTTTAATTTTTAGGTCTTCTTTAACTAAACCAAAATCTGAAATGACTCCCGAGGAACTAGCAAAAAGAGAAGAAGAAGAATTTAATACTGGACCACTTTCAGTATTAACACAATCTGTAAAAAATAATACACAAGTCTTAATTAATTGTAGAAATAATAAAAAATTATTAGGAAGAGTAAAAGCATTTGATAGGCATTGCAATATGGTTTTAGAAAATGTAAAAGAAATGTGGACTGAACTTCCACGTACTGGAAAAGGGAAAAAAAAGGTAATTAATATATCATTATAAGAATTAAAAATATAATATAAATTAAAGATATAAATTAAAAATATAAATAAATTTTTAACTAGGCAAAACCAGTAAACAAGGATAGATTTATTTCTAAGATGTTTCTAAGAGGTGATTCTGTAATTCTAGTTCTACGGAACCCATTAGCAACAGCATCAGGAAAATAATTTTACAAATAAATTCACTTTAAAATTCTAATCTGTAACTTATTCCTTATAATTATTTACTATAAATGAAAAATAAAAATTTCAAATAAATTTCTTAATAAATTTAAATTATAAATGTATAATTTTTGTATCAACATTTATATCTTGAATTTAATAAAATATGTTCTTTTTTATATTAAAAATATTAAAATAAAATAAAATTAAGCAAGACATGATATTTATTTGTAATGAATTATACATAAAATCATTAATCTTTTTCAGCAATTGCAGTAAGATGCTTATCAATTTCTTGTTCTGTTAAAGTTCTGAAATATAAAATATAAAACATATATATTAGTTATTTATGATGATTATATAAATAAAATAGAAATAAGATCATGATATATTTACCGAAATTTAGGATTATCTTTTGATACCACACCAACTTCTATTTCTGTTGGTTTAAAATCTACTGATAAAACAGTAGATAAACATGTAATTGCTAATTGTATTGTTTCATCATGATCATAATTTTGTTTTTTCTTTAATTTTTTCTCAAGATAAGAATTAGCTTCAGTTTGTTTAGCACCAACAGAAATAGCTCTATAACCACAATAATATCCAGCAGGATCAGCTTTATAAACACAAGGACCTTTTTCTTTATCATATGAAATGAGCATCATAGAGCAACCAAGAGGCCGCATCTCTGCATTTTGTGTATAAACTTGACTGATATCTGCAATACGTTTGCATAATGCATCTACAGGAATTTCATATTCATATTTATATTTAAAATAAGCTGCTTCATATCTTGCACGTTGAACTTGAGATCTGCTATCAGCTAAAATAAAAAATAAACAATATAAAAATACATTTAAAAAAGAAATATTGTATATATTTTTTTATTATTAATTATTATTGTAATTTTCTTTTTTAAAATTTTACCTATCATGCCTGTTACAAGGCAACCAATATGTTCAGTAAGTTGAAAAATATGAGTAACACTAGAAGCATCAAGTAATTTATCCTATAAATAATATTTTTAAATTACAAAAGAATAATGATATAATATTACAAAAAACTGTTGGAAACAAATTAGATAATAGAGGTTATCTTACAGGCACTTTCTTTTGTGTCGCAAAAACGGCAGTATCGACACCTTTCACCGCAACAGATGTTAAACCACCTTGATTTATTGCTTTAAATGCATATTCTGTAAAATATTCATTAATTACATTCAAAAAGGTTCAAAATTGCAGGTCACGCTATATCATGATTTTCGGTTAGAGATTTAATATAAGAATTAATAGTTTAAAATATATTAGTAATATTAAGCTAATTATATTTTATTATAAAATATTTTCATAAATCTTACCTACTTGGTAAAGCCGTCCTTCTGGTGAAAAAATTGTAATATGTCTATCAAAACCAGCACTACTACCTCGCGCCATATTTGCAAATAATATTAATGATCGTATTTAAAAGTTATAGGTAACTTTTCGAAACGTCAAATCATGCAAGCTATACATTAAGGTAGTTTACATTAAATATTAAACTTATTCATTAAAAAAATCAAATTAAAATCAAATATGTAAATCGATTTTTAAAGAATTTTTTACAATTACTTATGAATTATATTTATAATATGAATATATTTGTTTTTTTTATATAAAAATTTATTTGTATTTTAATTAAAAAAAAAATTTTAAATATTATTAACTTAAATTTTAAATAATAATTAATTTTAATTAATTTTAAATAAATTTTGAAAATATTCAATTCTGTCAAAAATATTTATATTTTTAAAAGTATATATAACTTTTTTTTAAAAGTATATATACTAATTTTAAGTATATATTTTTTAAAAGTATATATAACTAAATTTTTTAATAAATCTTTAGAAAATCTTTTTATATTAAAAAAAGAATAATTTAAACTGAATTTTTTTTATTGACAATATATAATTTTAATGTATATTGTCAATAAATATATATATATATAATTATTCACATACGTTTTATTATAAATAATTTTTGAGATATTTTTTAACATTTAAATTTGTTTTAATTAAGATCGAATTTAATTAAGTTTATACATGTAATATGTAATATATGATACACATTGATATATACATACATTGAACATTAGATTTCGTAAGCAATGTTATCATAAATTACTTCTTAAAATATTACTGATAGAAATTTTCCAGTACGTTAGGAAACCACTTAAGCGACACTTCTTAGCAAAAAACAAATGTCTACATTAACAGGTAAAAATATTTTAATTGAAATTAATTTTTAAACAAATTTTTAAACAAAATATTTATAAAAGATAATCAATTATTCAGTCAAATATATATTGATCATATAATATTTTTTAAATAAATTTTTGAAAAGCATAAGCGTCAGTCATATGACTTTCCACGAGTTTTTTTTTATTTTTTGTACAGTAGATTTTATAATATTAATTATAATTTTTACAGTTATATTTATTATGTTATGTTTATTATACGATCAAAATGAAAACTGAAAGTTTGTGTGAACCAATTATATATTATTTACGATTATGATTTAGAATGAAATTATATAGAATATAATATAATATAATATAATATAATTCAAATTTATATCACGATTTATTTCAAAATTGTAAGTAATGTATATATATATATTATTAAAGCAAATATTTTTATATAATATTTTGATTATTTGAAAATTTATTTTTAATAATATTTTAATAAAATAAACTTTAATATAATTTTATTAAATAAATTATTTTATAATTTAATGCATTAATATAATATAAATATAATTTTTCTTGAATTTTTTATATTTACATTAATTTTCAGATGACAAAGCCAGCCTAAGAAATGGCGAAGAATTAAAAGAAAACTTTGATCCTACTGGTTAGAATTTTCGTTCTTATGAAGAAATTACTTCAAATTTAGTTCTATGTTTCATCTATTAGATCAATATTTTATAGAACATCAACATATTCGATATAATCCCTTAAAGGGAGAATGGGTATTAGTATCACCACATCGAATGAAACGACCATGGGGAGGACAAATTGAATCAAATGTAGAAGAAGATCTTCCAGATTATGACCCTAATAATCCACTTTGTCCAGGCAATATTAGAGCTAGTGGACAGGTGATATTCTTGATAATTCTTATGTGTTCTTATATTTTATTAAATGGAAAAATAATTAAAGATATAAAATTATATATATTTTTTATTTTAATTTTAATATTAAATTTATTATGTTTTCTAGATAACTCCAATATATGAAAATACATATTCATTTATTAATGACTTTCCTGCATTATTGGAATCAGTTCCTAGCCCATTAAAATCAGAAGATGAATTATTTCAAATGGATGCTGCTAGAGGTATTTGTAAAGTAATGTGTTTTCATCCAAAATCAAATGTAACAATAGCACTTATGAAAATTTCTGAAATTAAAGAAGTGATTAAAAGGTATGTTGAATATATTTATTCTATAATATTAGAATAATTGCATTTACAATGAATATCTAATAAATATTTAATTCAGATGGATTTTTGAAATGCTTGAGTTAGGAGAAAAATGGACTTGGGTACAAATATTTGAAAATCGAGGTGCTTTAATGGGATGTAGCAATGCTCATCCTCATTGTCAAATTTGGGCTAGTTCTTTCTTACCAAATGAAGCTAAAATAAAGGATAGATTTCTCAATGATTATTATAATCGCAATAAGAAACCACTTCTTATAGATTATGTGCAAAAAGAGCTTTTTAAAAAGGTAAAAAATAATAAAATTAATAAAATTTTAAATTTGAATCTTTAAAATATTTTAATTCAAATTTCATAAAAATTTCATTACACACATTTTATATTATAGGAACGCATTGTATTAGATAATCGAGATTGGGTAGTTTTAGTACCATTTTGGGCAATATGGCCTTATGAAACTATGGTATTACCCAAAAAACAAATATCTAGAATGCAAGATTTAACAGAAAGTCAACAAGAATCATTAGCTGTTATTATGAAAATTTTATGTACTAAATATGATAATTTATTCCATTGTTCATTTCCCTATTCTATGGGTTGGCATGGTATATTTAATTATTATATATTATTATTAAAAAAATTTTTGATACTTTTAATTTTTATATTTCATTTAAAACTTTTTTAAAGGTGCACCAACTGGTCCATATGTAAAACAAGATTACCCTTACTGGACATTTCACGGAATTTATTTACCTCCTTTATTGCGTTCAGCTACTGTAAAAAAACATATGGTTGGATATGAACTTCTTGCACAAGCCCAAAGAGATTTAACACCAGAACGAGCAGCAGAAAAATTAAGAACTTTATCAGATTCTCATTACAAATATCCAGAAACAAGTTTAACTAGTTATGAAATAGAAAAATATTCTAAATAAATCAATTTACATTTTATATATAATTATATATTTTTATAAATATATATGTTATTCACATATATATTATTTATAAAAGTGTAATATTGAACATTACTTAATTATACAAACATTAATTATATAAATAAAAATCAGTGGATATGAAAAATAAGTAATTACAATTTTACACTGTTAATATATAGGAAATGTACAATCAATTTTTTTACTCCAAGCATGAATGCCACCAATAATATCTTTTATTTCTAAATTACTTTCTTTAAACACAGTCTGAAGATTTATTACAGCTTTTTGTGAATCATTTCCTCTTCTACATATAATGTATACTAGAACGAAAATATATAAATTTAATTATTTATAATTTAATATTATAATATAATTATAATTTAATATATAATTAATATACACTTACAAGTAGTTTTATCATATTGTTTTTGCATTTCTTGTATTTTATTTTTTATAAAATTTATTTTTTCATCATTATTAATATCATTCAATGGTATATTTATAGAATTCTTTAAATGACAAATTTCAAATTCTTCCGCTGAACGTACATCGATTAAAATATGAGGTTTCGCGTCTAATTTCATTGTGTTATATTCTTCTACACTTATTCTTTCTTCCTTTTTTAATAAATTTAAGTTTGGATTTTTATCATTTGCTTTTGCACCACAAAATTGTTCATAATCAATTAATTTGTGTATAGTTGGATGATCACCGCAAACGACACAGTTTACATTTTTAGCACGTAAACTGATATTGCGAAACTTCGTTTCTAGTCCATCAAATAATAGAAGTTGACCAGATAGTATACACGGAAGATCGAGTACAATCTTCAGAGCTTCTAATGCTTGTAGGATACCAATTGTGCCAACGGCTGCAGTTAAATCAAGTAATGAATATTTTTTCATGAGAAAATATAAAATAAAAATAAATAATCGCATATACCTGGACCAAAAACACCTCCATCCCCACAATTTGTTACTGTTTCTGGAGGAGGAGGTTTAGGAAATATGCATCTATAGCAAGGTCCATTATAATTAAAAACAGATAAATGACCTTCAAATTTTAATGCTGATCCAGATACCAGAGGTTTATTATTTAGAACACATGCGTCATTCAATAAATAACGTGTAGCTACATTATCAGTAGCATCTAATATTACATCATAACACTTTATTATATCCAAAGCATTATTACTATCTAGTTGAATTTTGTACGGAATAACTTTAATAGTACTATTCAAACTAAAATTGATATGATATATTTAATTAAACATTATTAATTGATCATAAAATTTATGCATATTACATTGATTTACAAATACCGATTAAGAGTTTCTACAGCGGCATTTACTTTTGATATTCCAATATTTGATTCTGTATATAATAATTGTCTATGAAGATTATTAATCTCGATATCATCATAATCAATAATACCAATATGTCCAACACCAGCAGATGCTAAATATAATGCAGCAGGACATCCAAGTCCACCTGCTCCTACGATTAATATTGCACTATTTTTTAATTTTATTTGACCTATAAGTATGCAATAAAAATATTATAATTGAAGAATACTTTTATTTTTTATATATAGAATTAAAAATATATATTTAACAGAAAATATTAAATATTGAAAATGAAAATCATTTATTGATATCATTCAATAATATATTTTAATTATTTATGAATAAATTACACACCTTTAATGCCAATTTCTGGCAAAAAAATTTGTCTACTATATCTTAATATTTCTTCATTACTTAAGCCATAATCTTGTAAAATTTGTCTTTCGCGCCTTAGAGCAGCTAATTGAGCTTCTTTTATGCGTAACAATTCACGTAATTCAATAATTTCATCAATCAATTTTTTTTCATTCATTTTCATAGAATAAAGTTTTTAAAATGAATTGAATGAACAAAACTGAATGAATTGAATATTATTATTATACTATAAAAAACTTTAAAAAAAAAATTGAATTAAATTTTTTTTATCAAAGATTTAATTAGGTTATATTAATATTTATTAAAAGATGGATGTTCGAAAGGTTAATGATAATAGATATGTATGTATACATAAGAAATAACTGATTAGAAAATATAAATGATAAAATAGAAATAATTATTCTACAATATTTAATGTTCTATTATTAATTATAGATACTGTTTATTTTTAAATATTTTATAATGTATTAAATTTATGTGTATATATATATATACTACATTTTCAATTTCACATCTAAGACGCAAATGATGCTATTGAGATACTACTAATTTTCAGTATTAGTTTATAAAATGATCAATCATCTTTTAATTAATTTTTAATCTTTACAATAGTAGTAATAATCTTTGTAGTAGTAATCTTACAATGTAGTGATAAAATGAAATTTTTATTATTACAAATAATATAATAAAAATAAGAATATTTTTCATACTTGTTGTATATTGTATTGAATCTTAGAATTTATTTTTAAATGAATTTTTATTTAATTTAAATATTGAATAAAAATAAAATTTTCTTTTAATCTTCATTGTTTATATTAAATATAAATTAAATTATGATGATTTAAGTTCAAATCAGTAAATATACATTGGATGGACTGTATGACTTTATGAATATTTAAAGGAATTAAAGAAATAAAAAGTAATGATATCAGAAACGATTAAAAACAACTAGTTTGTTAAAATTACAATATACTCAATTTCAATGATCTCTGCGAGATCTGTGTATTTATTTGTACAGTGTCGTGCGCAATAAAACCAGTACAGTCTTGAGCAAAGGTAGGAAGTTGATGATTAATGTCACGGTCAGCGAGGTTCTGACTCTTGACAAGTGTACATAGGAAAACCATGATTTTTTAAATAACAAAGTGAGTATTATTTGTGAAGAACTTTATTCATAATATACATCAAGATGGTGGAACCAATTTTTGACTATCAGTTTCGTCTAATACTTATTGGTGACAGTACAGTCGGAAAAAGTTCATTGCTGAAATATTTTACCGATGGGAAGTTCGCAGAGGTATGTAGTGACTTTAACCATACTATCAACATTGATGATAAAAAATAATTTTAAAAAATAATAAAGCTATCACATTTAGTTTTTTCATAATTTTTGATATATTAATTTTAAGTCGTAATTGATATTAAATTCGGTGTTGAGATAAATTTTATATTGTTGGAATATTTCCAATTTGTGGATCTAATAATATTTACGTATTATATTGAAGTAATATAATTTATGTATATTATTATTTTTAAAATGACTTAAAATAATAAACTTAAAATAATGCAAAAATATTATGATATAATGTTATTTATACATTTTTTGTAATAGTGAATAGTGAGTTTAATTTCAATATCAAATTATATATATTAATAATAAGTTAATAAAGAAATAAATATTAACTAATTAACAAAAGTATATAATTTGATTAAAAACATATATCTTTTGTTTTTATGTAAAGCTATATAATTAAAAATATTACATTTATATTTAGTGAATATAGAAAATGTATAATAATATTTTGTTTTAGCTTTCAGATCCAACAGTAGGAGTAGATTTTTTTGCTAGATTAATTGAAGTAAAAGATGGAACAAGAATAAAATTACAATTATGGGATACTGCTGGCCAAGAAAGATTTAGGTATGTTATTTTTTTTTCAAATATTTAATAATTATTAAGAAAATAGAGAGAAATATAGATAATTAGAAATATAATCATTAAAATCATAATTAAATAGGTCAATTACAAAATCCTACTATAGAAACTCTGTTGGAGCCTTGCTTGTATATGATGTTTGTAATAGAGCAAGTTTTGAACATATTCCTGAATGGATGATGGATGCTCGTAGACATATTGAACCACATCGTCCTGTATTTGCATTAGTAGGTTGTAAATTAGATTTAGTTACCAATGGAAGTAGACGAGAAGTTTCAAAGGAAGAAGCAAGAGCTTTTGCTGATGAACATGGAGTACATCACATTGAAACCAGTGCAAAAACTGGAGTTAATGTTGAAGAGGCATTTCGAACAGTTACTCAAGAAGTTTATAATAGAATACAGACTGGTGAATACAAGGTAGAAGATGGTTGGGATGGAATAAAGACTGGATTTGCTAGACCTGGTGGTTTAGATTTTAATCTAGTCGAAGCAGAACCTGCAAAGAGTTCTTGTTGTTAAGTTAAATTTTAATTTGTTATAAAGAATAATAATATTTAGAATGCAGTGTTATTATTGTATATGTAATAGAATTTATGTTTCTTAAACTTTTTTGTGAATTATTCTTGACATTAAAAGTAATTAAAATTTTTTTAATAATTTTATTTGATAAAAGAAGAGGAAAATTCTATTTTTTAAAAATTATATTTCACTGCATTCTTATTTTAGAAAAAAAATTTATAATAAATTTAAAAAATGTGTAAATCTTCATTAAACATTTTTGTACATAGCTTGTATAAACAAAATGATTATATATCTCTGAAACACATAGACATTAAACTAGGACTGTTTTCTATCTTATTTAAGATCCAAAGTATTTAAGTATAATAAAAATTCATATTCATAATATTAATTTAGCTATAGTATTTTTATATATTTTATTGTAAATTAATGATTTTGTTTTATAAAGCAAATAACGGCTGTGCTTTTTTGTCAAAATCATCATTCAAATGTTGTAGCAAAATTTTTAGAAGATATAAAACTACTATTTATTTATAATAAATATGGTATAATTTAAAAAAAGTTTTAAAATATAAATATTTGTAGATTGTGTTTTATGTGAAAATGAAATTTTGAAAATTAATGAAATATTTATATCAATTATATTAATCCATTATTTCTTGAGCTATATTTTTTTCTATTAATATCACAATTTGTGATAATATCATATAAAAAACCAAATTAATATATATATATATATATATATTTAATTAAAGCCAAATAAAATAACACGTCACTATTTATAATATTTTTAATTTATAAAACATAAAGAAAGGGAGAAAATGAGAAAAGAAAAAATAAAGTATGATATTATATGTTCTAATTTTAAAACAATAATGTTTTAATATATATATATATATTCTGTATATATCATATGATTTTTTGAAAATATTAAATTTTGTTATATATAAAATAAAAAGTATGTATCTTAATTTAATTACTATAAACTAATAAATAACTGTTTTGTTATATTTCTATTATAAAATATAACATGTCAGTTTGAATAGAATACAATTTATATAATCTAGTATATTTTTAATATAACCATTTTTTACTGAATGGTACATTTTACACTTTTTCATATCAATCTCTTAAAAATAATATAAATTTCTAACTTTCAAGATAAAAATTAAGAACATAAATATTTCCATATTCTTAAGTCAGAAATAAATTAGTCAAAATATGTTCAAGTAAATGTTATTTATATCATTTGCATTTTTCACTATAAATTGAACTAAGAGAATATTTAGAGAAATATTTATTTCTTACAATAAAAAAAATATATATAATATATAATATTTATCCAGAAAATAATATGCAGTGAAATTTGTATTTGTATAATAAATATTTGAAATCTAAATTTGTAAAAAATATTGTATAAGTACTGCATGGATAAGATTTATTTGTGAAATTTTATACTCGTTAACTATGATATAAAAACGATAATATATACGATATGATATAAAACGAAAATATTAAATAAGAAAGGTGCAAATTAATAACATATATCATGTCATTAAATTTGTATAGTTATATATACAACATTTATGTTTTTATCAATATAGTAATAAAACATATATGTAACTGACTAAATGATTTTTAAATCTATATAAAATGTAAATTTGTTATATGTTTCTTTTTGTTTTTAAATATTTTTTTTGTAAATAAAGATTAATAATATTACATTAAAAATATGAATTATAATAAATATATAATTTAATATATATAAAAAAATATAAAAAATTATAAATATATATATAAAAAAACGAAAAAACAAACATATAATATATATATATAGCTTGAAATGCATATTTTTTAAAAATTGTTTTCTAATAAAATGTATTATTTTATGTATAATTTAATTAAATTTAGGAATGTATTACAATTTTGTGTGCTATCATATTATATTATGTGTTATATTTATATATAATTATGTTAAAAAAATAAACAATATACATATATTATAAGTTCTATATTTATTTGATAATATATACATGTGTTAATTGAATTATTTTCTGTAATAAATTAAAAAAAATAAAATAATTATTAATTATTAATAATTATTAATTAAATATTATATAATAAATATTAATAATTATTAATTATTAATATTATTAAATAAAATAATTATTTTCTGTAATAAATTAAAAATTAGATAATTTTTAATAATTAATTTTATAATAAATTAATTTTTTTTAAGACTAAATCAATTAAAAAAGTAATCATATAAAAATTTTATATTAATGTATTGATTTTTCATTTATAATTATATATATAATATTAATTAATATATGTATTTGCATAGTTTATTATTTTTATAAGTTGTAATAAATAAAATAAAATGTTAATAAGATATAGAATTTACATATTTAATAAAATATAATTAATAATAATTAATATATAATTAATACATACAATATATACATATTTAATATCTTCCTTTCAATATACTTAAATTATAGATTTTTTATAAATCAAATATTTCTGAAATGAAAAATTATTTGAGTATAATAAAATTATTACAAAATATCATTGGTAGTTGTTCTTTCAAATAAGTATAAAATAATAATTAAAAGATATAAAATTATATTTTTAGAACAAAAGAAACAGAGTTTATATAGAAAAATAATTTATATAATATTACTTAAGAAGATAAAAAATAATAACTATTATTAAAGATTCTATATATCCTTTATAGCATTATTTTTTATTATTTATAGCATTATATTTTATTATTTATTCTATATATTGCTTTATTCCATTTTTCTAAATAATATTAAAAAAACTAATCAAATTATGTAAGAAATAGAAAACATAAATTGAATCTTAAAGAATGTTAAAGATATATGATTTATAAAAACTATATTATAAATATATATAGTTTTAAAGTTTCTAAATTATGTACATGCTTATATTATACATGTAAACATTATGTTTTACACATAATACATATGTGCGCATGTGTATATACATATACAAGCATTTACTGATAATTATAATATTATAAATTAAGATCTATTAAACATTTATATAAATTTCTAATAACAAAAACGTAATTATATATATAATATATATTTATATTTAAATTAATTTCTATATTAGAACTTTTATTAATATTAAAATTTGATAACTATTTAAATATTATATAACTTTTAATTTAATAATTAATTATTACATCCAATATACATATGAAAATAACAATTGCATATTAAATTATTCACAAAATTAAATCTAAAATTGAAAAAAATTATGGTAACAATCTTGTGATATTAAACTTGAAAGATTCATATATTCTTATATTATTATTATAAATTTGTATTATATATCATAAATTCTTATTTTTAATATTATTTACTATCTTAGAAGAGGAGATTAAATAGCTTGACTATATATATATTTAAAATGACTAGAAATTGTTATTAATATATATTTCTTATTTTGGCAAAAATGATGTAATGTAAATTTATGAAATTATGAACAAGTTTTTAGAAATACTCTATTTAAAATTTATAATAATTATTTTTGAATAATATTTTTTAAAATATTATTCAATTATATAAATATTATTTTTATGTACATTAAGCAATTAAATATATTCTTTTCTATTTACAAAACAATTTTTTTTGTACTATATATATATGTATATATATATAAAAATCATTCTCCAAAGAAGAATTAAACTACATGGAATGTTTAATTCTCAATTTTCTAATTCTTAAATAAATTTTTATTAATAAAACTTTTATGAATAAAAAATAAAAATTTGAATGAATTTCTTTGAATTAAATTTGATCTTTATTCAAAATGTTGAAAATTGAAAGAAATAAATATAATAATTTGAAAATCTAAAATGGACGGCAATTATATTGTTGAGTTTAAATGATTTTTAATAATAAAATAGAAAATCAAGTGAAAAAATTGATGAATATTGATGAAAATGAAAATTCTTTAAATAAATTATAAGTAGAAATAATTTTATCAAATTTCTTGTCATTTTGAATTAAGAAATCTTAAGTAAATTAATTAAATTAATTGAACTTTAATCATGAATTATAAAATTTCAAGAAAATTGTAAAGGGAAAATAGAAAAGAAAGATTAAAATTGAGCGTGCGCGCGCACGCATGTGTGTGTGTGTATGCGCGCGTACGAGAGAGAGAGAGAGAGAGAGAGAGAGAGAGAGAGAGAGAGAGAGAGAGAGAGA